AGTTACTAAATAACAGTATCTTATTTATTTAATCACTTCACAGTTATAAGCTCATAGAAGCCTCATGACAGTCTGTCAGATAGGTTGAGATACCCTCATTTTGCACATGAGCAAACTGAAGTTAAAACTTGTTATAGCAGTCAAGCCAGGTCTTCTGTCACCTGGTTCCAACACTAGTGCTCTTTCTATTCTAGTATGTTCACCATCTCTTTTGTGGAGAGAGTGGAAACTTTTTTAAAGAAAGATTTCAAGTTTCAAATGTGCGGTTTACTTTCTGATGTATATTTCCCTTTGAAGAAGAGACTTTTTGGGGTGGTGGACATTCCAAGCAATCAGGCCAGCACAGTTTTGTATAGTAACTTTATATGTTACTCATGTTTGTCATTTTCCTACATGGAAATCACTGGCCATGTTTAAAAGCTATAAATGTCCTGAAAAACTGCTAGCAATATGAGATCAATTTTAATCCTATAAAAATGGAGAAGAGCTTGACAGGCAAGTGTCAAAGGATTGGTTTTCCATGTTGGTGTAGTAGGTATGTAATTCTTGGTTCTTGAAAGTAATAATGACCACACATGTTAGCCTTCACGACACATGACATTGGTCATCATGCATGCATCAGTGAAACACAGTTTGACCTTGCTGTGCAGGAAAAAAAGTATGAATGTATGTTGAAAAGGCAAAAGGGAGACTGGAGTGTTTATATAGAGTGGTCTAATTACAAGCATTTAAAACATAAAACCATGGTTTAGAATCTCTTCACATAGAAAAGCTTATCTCTACCAGCTGTATTTTTCCACATTCTTTTCTGCTTTTGTGGTAATCAACTCCTTTGTTACCCTTCCAAATGTTTGAATAGAACAGGGCTATATTTTGAGAGACGATTAGAAACTCTAGAGCCATACAAAAGGTTAAAAACACAAAGAGAACTTTTCTAATTAATCCTCTTGATTTTACTTCATTTTAGAATGTAAAATGGGGAAAAGAAAACCTGAATGAGACATTGAGACCTTATTTCTAGCCCTGTTCCTGCCACAAACTTATTATAACCCTTCGGCGTATCACCCAACTACTCAGAACCTGTATTTCCTCATCTGTGAAATGAAGGCACTCGACTAGAATGATCTTTTTCTCAGCCAGAATATTCCATAATGCTACGATTTTACAGTTCTCAAGTTTACTCCTCACTCTACATGGAACAGACCTGAAATCTAAAATTTTAGTAGATCCTCTCTTGAGAAATTATTTTACTGTCACTAGCACTATTTTTCAAATTATGGTCCTCAAACTTCCATATAACATAATCACCGGGAATGCTTATTCAAAATGCAGACTCTTTTGTGGTTCCATACAAATTTTAGGATTGTTTGTTCTACTTCTGTGAAAAATGCTGTTTTGTATTTTGATGGGGATTGCAGTGAATGTGTAGATTGCTTTGGGTAGTATAAACATTTTAACATTTGTTCTTCAAGCCCATGAGCATGGAATATCTTTCCATTTCTTTGTATTGTCCTGAATTTGTTTCATTGGTGTTTTATAGTTTTCAGAGTACAGATCTTTCACTCCCTGGTTAGGTTTATTCCTAGGTATTTTATTCATTTGGGTGCAATTGTAAATGGGATTGTTTCTCGTAATTTAACTTTCTGCTTCTTCATTATAAATGGATAAGAATGCAACAGACCTCTGTGCATTGATTTTGTATCTTATGACTTTACTGAATTCTATCAGTTCTAGTAGTTTTGGGTGCAGTATTTAGGGTATTCTATATATAGTATTGTGTCATCTGAAAATAGTGAGAGTTTTACTTTTTCCTTACCCATCTGGATGGCTTTACTTTATTTTGCCTAATTGCTCTGGCTAGTATTGCCAGTACTGTATTGAATAAAATTGGTGAGAGTGGACATCTTTGTCTCAATCCTGACCTTAGTTTCGTGGGGATGCAAACTGGTACATCCACTGTGGGAAACAGTATTGATTTTCCTCAAAAAGCTAAAAATATAACAACCCTGCACTGCTGGGTTTTTACCCCAAAAATACAAAATCACTAATTCAAAGGGATATATGCACATCTATGTTTACACAAGCATTATTTACAATAGCCAAGATATGGAACAGTGTAAATGTCCATTGATTTATAAATGAATAAAGAAGTGGTGTGTGTGTGTGTGTGTGTGTGTGTGTGCGCGCGCGTGTGTATGAATATTATTAACCATAAAAAGAATGAAATCTTGCCATTTGCAACAACATGTATAGAGCTACAGCATATAATGCTATAAGTGAAACAAGTCAAAGGAAGACAAATACCATATGATCTCACCCATATATGGAATTTAAGAAACAAAACAAACGAGCAAAGGAAAAAAAGAGAGAGAGAGGGACAAACCAAGAAATAGACTCTTAACTATAGGGAACAAAGTGGTGGTTACCAGAGGAGAGGAGGGTGGGGGAATGGGTGAAATATGTGTTGGGGATTAAAGAGTACATTTATCATGAAAAATAAATAAATAAAGAAAGAATAAAATGCAGACTCTTGTACCCTGATCCAAGCCTATTAAATAGATATTTTTAGGATGGATCTAACATCCAGCAGGTGACTGTACTTAACAATACTGTATTGTATACTTGAAATTTCCTAAGAAAGTAGATCTTAAAAGTTCTGAGCACACACACAAAATGGTAACTCTATGTGATGATAAATGTGTTAACTAACCTTATTGTGGCAATCATTTTACAATATATACATATAGCAAATTATCATGCTGTACAATTTAAACTTACATAATGTTATATGTCAATAATATTGAGGCACCTGGGTGGCTCAGTTGGTTGAGCATCTGGCTCTTGATTTCAGCTCAGGTCATAATCCCAGGGTCATGGGTTGGAGCCCTTCGTTGGGCTGCTTGCTGAGCATGGAGCCTGCGTCAGATTCCCTGTCTCTCTCCCGCTGTCCTTCCTCCCACTCACGCTCATTCTCTCTCTCTCTCTCTCTCTCTCTCTCTCTCTCTCTCTCTCTCATAAATAAATAAATAAATATCAATTATATCTCAGTAAAACTGGGAGAAATGTTTTAAAAATAAAATTATGTTCCTGAAAAAAAAATCTTTAGTAAGGGAGGAGGGATTCAAGACTATATGTTTCTAATGAGCTCTGAGCTGATCTGTATTTCCTCTGAAGTTTGAGAACAACTGAGAATCTAGGAATAAACAGGAGAAGGGAAGGAAGAGTGACAGTAGAATAGTGATAATTGCAATGTAGCTTTGGATGAGGAAGAAACAGGTATAGAGGGAAAGGGGAATTGATCTAAGGTGGCAAGGATGCTCCTGGAGAATGCATTTCTTTGTTGCATGGTTTCATGTCTGAACAGACTGAAATCAAGCACTATGAGAACTAGTGTAGAAATGCCCCACAGCCAAAGCATCAACTGATACTTGAGTCTCTAGCTTTTGTGTTCATATTTGAAACTGGAGATGGCGGTCATGGTTATGTCTTCTGAATGAGAAAATGTCCTTCCTCAAGAAGCAGAAAAAACCTGTAGTAAATGATGACCAATTAGGATATCTGAGATTTTTTAAAAAGTGGAAATAAACCCTTTGGTGAATTAAAATATATTCTTTTCATGATTGGGGATTTTGCTCAAATTTTATTTATCTTCTTTTGGGGACAGTCTGTTATTCTGCAGTGTTTAGGCTACATCTTTTATGCGACCATGATAAAAACACATGCTGATAAAGTGATTGTCTCTGTAGGTTCTGTGACAATGTTGCGTTTTTAGCACAGACATGCACACATACAAAACAGAAAGAGAAGGGAAAAATCTCATCATCCAGGGTCTTCACTTCAGACAAGTTTGAGATCAAGCCTCAGGGAATCCAACTCATCTCTTCACAAGTCAAATGCCCTACATGAAAGAACACTGAACTGCCCAAGGCATTTGGCAAAGTTCAAATAAATCTCTATTTGACTTTAACAGAGAGATGATCAGGTGGAGGAGCTGCTCTGGCTTAGAAGGATCTTTCAAGAACCACAGACATGTGTGTGAACCCCAGCACGAGATAGGAAGTCCCTGTGGCCTTAAAAGAGTTTTGAGGAGTAATGACAGCACACTAGCAATACTTCTGGCTTTGCATTGGTTGAAGAGTAATGTCTAAAATTATGGTAAGCAGGTTCACGTGGCCATCTAGCTCCCAGTCATGCTTTATCTTAGTGAAAAGAACACTAAGTAAAGGGGAAAGTAAAGGGGAAAAAAGTAAGCACAATATTTCATTTTCCTTCTCCATGGCTTCCTAAACAAATGAACAACTTTCTTGTGGAGGCTTTCCATGGTATTTCATCCTTCTTATTCACTTTGTTTTTATTTCATAATATTTATGCTTACTTTGTTTATTACCTGTATCCACTTCACTGGAATCTATGCTTTGTGAAGGCATGGATTTCTTTCCACAGCTATTGCCCATTGCCTAGAGAATTTCTCGCACTTAGTAAATGCTCACTAAATACTTATTGAAAAAACGGACACATTCCCATTAGATTATTGCCTTCCCACATTCAATGATAATTAGTATATTTTATGCAGTTTTAGAATTATGTCCCCAAATGTGTCAATAAAATATTTAGGGAGTTGGACCAAAGTGGAATGTTTACCAGGCTGGTTATTTCTGGCTTTAAGATTAGGTAATTTAGTCATTGAGAGCTGCACCTCTAGAACTGAACTATTTAGGTTTGAATCCTGACCCTGCTACTTGCTAGCTGCAAAATCTCCAGCAAGTTAATTCTTTATCCCTCAATTTCCTTCTCTGTGAGATGAGATAATAAGGTAGCTCTGAGTATCAAATGTATCTAAATGGGGTCTTGTACATAGTACAGAAGAATAATATTTATTGTGGTTGCTTTCCTATGAGTATCCTGAGTTATTTCTTCCATCAATGATGCTTTCTATATACCATGAGCACACACTTACATTTGTATTCTTAACTTAAATCAGAATTTCTTGGATTATGTAGCTGTGTGATCCTCCTGAAAATCAGAAGTCACAATTTGAGTGCAGGAAAAAGGGGGCACTCTTTGGATGATGAAGCCCAGATCATAAAAACAACAATGAAATGGTAAGCATTACTTGTTTAATATTTTAAATCTATCCACCTTTCTACCTATCTACCCATTCATCTATTTCTCCATCTGTGTATCTATCCCTCCATCAATCCACCCATCTGTCCTACTGTACTTGTATGGCCTTATCTCTCATTTATAAGGGTGCTTGGGTGGCTCAGTCAGTTAAGCATCCAACTGTGGCTCAGGTCCTGAACTCATGGTTTATGAGTTTGAGACCCACATTAGGGTCTGCTTCATCCTCTGTTCCCCCTCTTTCTCTGCCCCTACCCACCTCTCTCTCTCAAATAAAAATTTTTTTAAGTTATTTATTTATGGATGTTTCTCATTTGAAGCAATAAAACACCAAACACACATATAGCAATTACTTTGTACCAGGTACCATTCTAAGCACTTAGAGAAAACTTCTCATTTGTCAGTGTAAAGGTCCATGCATTTGCTCACAACTTTAGAAACTCTTTCTAAAAATTCCAAACTCAGCAATACACCTTCATGTATAGTTAATGTTATCGTTCTTGTTTGTTCTAATTGAGTCACATAAGCTTTAAGTGACCATATTCCTGCCTTCTGGAGTTTACAGTGGAGGTCCATCACCATGGTCTTCCGTATTAATTAAATAATAGTATGCAAACACAACCCAACATCTCTGAAGATTTTTAAGTGACTCGCAATTTTTCTTAAGGTTCCTAGCTGCCTAATTCCCCACGTGTACTTCCTCCTAACATCCATCTTAGTGTGAACAAACTCCATTCTCTCTTAAGGGCTCCACCTAGGACCTCCACTTCTCTTCTTTCATGCCTCCTGGAGCACTGATTTACAAAGCTGTTACTTGTAGCCAACTTACTTTTTTTGACGTTTGGAGGGAGGAATGGCAAGGTGGGAGAGGATGGGGTGAAAGGAACAGGATAGCAGTAATTTCAACACAGGACACAAATTACCTTCAGCAATTTCAGACTTCACTATTCCTGGCATTTATGGGGCATTTCCCACCGCTGACAATTTCTCACTGCCTGTCTCCTGCTGTATCTTGAGCTTCCTCTCTTCCATTTCCCTTTTTGCTTTCCTTTCTCCCTGTTTCCCAAGTCCTTTACTCATTTACTCCTCTCTTCAAGGTTTCCCCCAGAAATATAAATATATTCCTACTCCTTACCTCACCCTAAGCAATGACAAGTGGGCCTTTATTAACCAAGATAATCATCTCATTATGATCTTTTCTTTTCTTTTTTCTTTTCTTTTTATGTTTACTTATTTGGGGGCGGGGGGCGGGGGACAGAGCGTGAGCAAGGGTAGGGGCAGAGAGAGAGGGAGACACAGAATCTGAAGCAGGCTCCAGGCTCCAAGCTGTCAGCATAGAGCTCAATGCAGGACTCAAACTCATGAACTGTGAGATCATTACCTGAGCTGAAGTTGGATTCTTAACCAACTGAGTCACCCAGGCGCCCCTCTTTCTTTTTTTTAACGTTTATTTGGTTTTTGGCGGGGAGGGGCAGAGAGAGAAGGAAACACAGATTCCAAAGCAGGCTCCAAGCTCTGAGCTGTCAGTACAGAGTATGACACTGGGCTTGAACCCACGAACCCTGAGATCATGACCTGTGCTGAAGTCGGACACTTAAACGACTGAGCCACCCAGGTGCCCCTCATTATGATCTTTTCCTTAAAAGAACCATCTGCTCCAGGATTGAATTATGATATTTCTCAAGGCAGTTCCAGAATTTTTATGATAAAGGAGCTTTGTAGGGTTAATCTAACTGAAAGGCAATTGAGAAACCTTAACTTGAAATTATACTTGCATAGCAAACAAACTATTTTTAACTTAATTGTGCATCATTCCAAGTCCTGGCAGAAATCAAAATTCTGCTTAAAGGGATTTAACTGAAGAGACTTTACTTAAGGGAGTGTCTCCAGAAGTGTGGATAGGTTAGAGAAACCAACAAGGAACACTGAGGCACCCAGGGACAGTGACAGTGGGGAGACATTACACCCCTAGGCCTGAAGGAACATGGGAAGGAAATAGTGTCTCTGAGCCTGTTAATGGCTGGACCTGTGGAAGAGCCAGTAAGAGCTGTTATCATAGGGGTTATAGGCACCAAAGCAGGAAGGGAGTAGAGAAGGAAATACCCTGATGTCTCATTCTTCTTGTTCTCCAGACTCCAATTGATGCTTCTCATGGACTGAAGCCAGATGGCAGGGGAGCCCTGGTGAGGTCATTTGCAGGATTCCCTACCCATGGCCCAGAACAAATGGGATGGGGTTAGGTTATGAAGACTAACCAGAAGAGATTGTGTATTTATTTGGAAGTAACTTTGAAAGCAGAAACTAAGATTAAGGACCATTTATGGTCTTACTCTTAGGCAGAAACAACTGCATTCAAACTTTGTTTCACAGAGAAGCTTTCCCCTTCTATTACACTGGAAGGCTGTTGTGGAGACAGGTTAGCCATCCCCCTACCTTCCCTACTTCTGGGGAAAGCTCTGAGTCACAGGCAAAGCAAGATGCAAAGGAAGTATTCACTTTGTCTTATTACCAAGATTCCTACCGCATTTGTACCACAGGTTAGCTTGAGATACTCTATATTATGAGAAATAGAAAAGCAATGATTGAAGCATAAAACTAACTTGCAACAACAGATCCAGAAGTCAAGCTAAGCACCTGGAGAAACCAGCACAATTGAGGATGTACACTTTTGAACTCTAAATTCTTTTTATTGCAACTAAATTCAAGCTCTCCACCAACCATGAGAAGAGTTTACATTACTCTTTGAAATCACTGAGGCAAAAACAAATTACCAAAAGCTGGAGAATGGTTACAGGAGTGATTCTTTCCTCAGGGCTGAATACTAAAATGAGGGATGCCTTTGTTTCTTTGCAGAGAATAGATGCTGCATTATAAACTCCTAGGTGCTTCCAGCCAACTTGTTTTCCTGCCTGGTCCTCCTTTATCTGTTGTGTCTACAATTACCAAGAGGGTGGTGGAAGAATTTCTGGAAGACACTAGGTTCAACCTAACTCCCTAGATGGGTTGATGACTACCTCAACACCTGGGAGCAATCATAGAATAGCAGATATGGCTCTGAGCTGCATGTACCTGGCATATACTATGGTGACAAAGATACTCTGGTTTCTCTTCAGATCGAACAAATCTTTCGCCTTTTACTATGGTGACAAAGACAGAGTGTCATGAAATTTCTAACAGGAAAATACTGTCTTCTATAAAGTTAATTCTGACATGACTTGAGGAACAAAAGAGAGAAATACCCATGGTATTTACATGGACATACATGTTGCCCAAGCCTCTCTGTCACATTTTTGGTGCCTGGGATAGCCTGTAGAGGAGGTGCTGAGCTGAGTGCTTCATGTTAATCAACTCAAAATAAATCTGGGAGATGCATGTTAAAATATCCCTATTTTACAGAGAAAACAGATTTAAGGAAATCACTGGTTTGCTCAAAGACACATAATTTCTACATGGTAGAGCTGATCTTAAAACCTAGCTCTGTCTGTGTTCAAAGCTTTGCTCCTAACAACCACACCGCATTGAATGAATGTGTCAGGAAGTTTGGAAGAAGGGTAGTGAGATGGTGTATCGTACAGATAAAGTTATTTCCAGAATTATGAATCTACAATATTGCTATTTAAAAGAAATATAGATTTGATCATTCAGATGACTGAAATTTATTTCTCACATATATTTAGTTTTCATCTATAGTTCCTGGCTCACAGCTTCCAAAATTCTTGTAATGTCCTAAGAATTGAAAGTGGTAAATATGTTTTTTGTTATTTTAATGAAGTGACTTTTGGAAAGCATCTAAGGATGGGGGCTGGTGGCCAGGAGAGCCAACCATGTGATTAGAGGGTTGTAACTCTCAGTCCCACCCCCTGACTTCTGGGGAGAGGAGAGGGATTGGAGGTTGGATCAGTTCCCAATAATCACCATGCCTATGTAGTATAACCTGCGTAAAACCCAAAAAGTAGGGTTCAGAGAACTTCCACGTTGGTGAACGTGTGGAGATGCTGGGAGAGTGGCTGCCCAGAGAGAACATGGATGCCCCAAGCCCTTTCCCCACACCTCAACTTATGTATCTCTTCTGTCTGTTTCTGAGTTATATCTTTTTATAATAAGCTGATATTTTAGTAAATAAAACATTTCTCAGAGTTCTGTGAACTGCTCTAGCAAATTAGTGAAACCTGAGGAGGGAGCCTTGGGAACCTCTGATTATATATAGCCAGTCAGTCAGAATTACAGGTAACAATTTGGATTTGTGACTAGCATCAGAAGTGGGTGGGGGATTAGGGAAGAGTCTTATAGGACTCAGTTCTTAACCTGTGGAATCCGATGCTATCTTTGGATAGATAGCCATAAAATTGAGTTGAATTCTCAGGCACTCTGCTGATGTCCAAGAATTTCTTGGTGTTGTGGAGGAAGCACACCTCTGCCACCTAACGTGCATGTTGCAACTGGGTCCAGGAACCCAAAAAGAGAATCCATATACAAGAATAAATTTAATTAGCCAGTACTCTTGGTGACAGAAACCCAATTCAAACCAGCTTAAGCCAGAAAAATATATATATTGGCTTATTTAACCTACAAGTCCAAGGGGTAACAACTTCCAGCATAGAACCAGGTACTTAAAATGAAGTTTTCAGGAAGCATTCTCTGCTTGTATTAATTTACCAACTTTGCTTTTTTATTTGTTTATTCGTTTATTTTTTTGGTTTTGGTTTTAATCTGTAGGCTGACAGTGTCTACGTAATGAAGATGCATCCTGACAGCACCATATTTACACAGTCCTTGAAGTTCATGACCTCAAATGAGTAAAAGTAATCCTCTCTCCTTGATCATCTATATCAATCCTTGGAAAACTTTCTGGCTTCCCTTGAATCACCTGCCCATCCTTGGACCAATCACTGTGTTTGAGAAGGAGTACAATACTCTTGCTGGCCAGCCTGAGTAACAGGTTCACTCCTAGGACAGGTGAGGCCAAATGTTCCACAGCTCTGTTCCAAAAAAAAAAAAAACAAAAAAAAAACAGTTCCCCAGACAGGAGTCTGGGCAAAGAAAGGTAAGAAAATAAATATGGATACAAAAATTACTAACTTACTAAATAAACAGGGCAGTCACTAGTTGTGGGTGGCTAAATGAAGGATGTGAGCAACTCAAGCATATGAGAAAACACTGTTTGCTACCTCATTGAGCAAGAGACACAGTGTATTAAAAATAGCTCCCTTGAACAGAGTTCACTGCTTGAACAAAAATAAAGAGATGTTTTCCTTATTCTTAAAATGTAATCCTATACTACTGGAATAATGTTAACTTCCATCTCTGAAACATTTTTTTTTCCTAGCGAAGAAATCATGAATCTCCATAGACTTATACATAGAGTTATACATAACTCATCTCATTATTCTGAAAATAAAAATCAATTTATGCGTAAGAGCTATTATAATTATTTTAAATGGAAAACAAGAGGAGAGAAAATGTCTTCATCTAAAGTCGATGCCTGGTAGACTGAATACAGGCGACCTGTAATTTAGAAACACTCCTGACAGAATAGCATCTGGGTGCCTAGTTCTGGATTCTCTCAAGCTCAGAATCCTCCCAGAGCTGCTTTTTTTGGAAGACCATTTTAGCTTTCACACTTAGAATTCTTCTCCCCAGCCTCCCCTTTCTGAGTAGTCAGTGTTCAAAGGGTGTTGGACTAAGGAAGAGCTTGAGGTTGGTATTACAGATGAACCAGCCCAGGGAGTCCTTTCCCTTCTCCATCTAGTACCTGTTCTTCCTCCAACCACCTAAGGCACTAACTTTAGACTTAACCAACATCTCTCTTATGCATTCTTCTATCACAGAACTTCTCTTATTTTGTTGTCCTATTTGGTTATATGTGCATCCTTCCTCATTTTCTCCCAGGCCCCCATCATTGACAAGATGACGGAGCTCATGTTAATTCATTATTGTATCGAGAGCAGTTTTTATACTGCCTGACATATAGTAGGTACTCAATAAATGTTGGTTGAGGGAATGAGAACTTGACCATTATTTGTAAAGCAGTGATTCTCTGTATTGTTAAGAGGCAGAATAGAATTCAGGGAAATTTTTTGCAGAACTCTAAGTACTATGGATATTCTAAAGTTAATTGAATAACTAAGTATATAATTTTATACTAAACTGAGTTTCATACTAGATTTTATTGTGGAAAAGTAGCAATAATATCAAAGGTTTAAGGAAAGCAGTAAAATGTATAGCTTAAAATGAGCATTAGAGGCCAGAACACCTAGGTTCTATTATTGGCTGTTCTGGTCATTATACTGCATAATGAATTACACCAACACTAACATTACAAACTAGTAGTTCTCACTTGGAATCTCTCATGCATTTGCAATCAGATATGGGGCTGCAGGCATCTGAAAACTTGGTTCTGTTAGAAAATTTTATTTTACTTTAATTTTAGAGAGAGGGGTAAAGGGAGGGGTAAAGGGAGAAAGAGAGAGAATCCTAAGCAGTCTCCATGTTCAGGATGGGGCCCAACACGGATCTATCCCATGATCGTCGGATAGTACCCTGAGCCAAAAGCAAGAGTCAGATGCTGAACCAGCTGAGCCTCCCAGGCATCCCAGGCTCTGCTAGAAATTTAAATGACTTACTTAATGGTTGACAGTTGATGCTGAGCTGATTACCAGAGCATCTATCTGTGGCTTCTCTAGCATGGCGGTCTCAGGATGGTCAGATTTCATACCTACCAGTTGGCTTCTACCAGAACAAGCATCACAACAGAGCCAGGTGCAAGCTGCATGACTTTTATTTCTTTATTATTTTTTTTAATGTTTATTTATTTTTGAGAGAAAGAGAGAGACAAAGCACAACAGGGGAGGGGCAGAGAGAGAGGGAGACACAGAATCCAAAGCAGGCTCCAGGCTCCAAGCTGTCAGCACAGAGCCCAAAGTGGGGCTCGAACTCACAAACCATGAGAGATCATGACCTGAGGCAAAGTCAGATGCTTAACTGACTGAGCCACCCAGGCATCCCTGCATGACCTTTCTGACCTAGCCTCAGAAATCACACAGTTTCACTTCTACCGGATTCTGTCTGTTGGATATAAGTAAGTCACTAAGGCCAGCCTACTTTTAAGGGAAGGGGACATAGACTCTGAATGACAGAAATGTAAAAGAATTTGTGGACATGTTTAAATCTACCACACTAGGGGCACCTTGGTGGCTCAGTGGGTTGAGTGTCTCACTCTTAATTTCAGCTCAGGTCATGATCCCAGGGTTGTGGAATTGAGCCACGCTCAGCATGGAGCCCGTTTAGGATTCTCTCTGTCTCTCCCTCTGCCCCTTTTCCCCCTCTCACTCTTTCTCTCTCCCTCGAAAAGGAAAGGAAAGGAAAGGAAAGGAAAGGAAAGGAAAGGAAAGGAAAGGAAAG